CTGTCAAGTTGTTTAGCTGTCTAGCTGTTTAGATGTTTAGCTGTCAAGTTGTTTAGCTGTTTAGATGTCTAGCTGTCTAGCTGTCTAGCTGTTTAGCTGTCAAGTTGTTTAGCTGTCTAGCTGTTTAGATGTTTAGCTGTCAAGTTGATTAGCTGTTTAGCTGTCTAGCTGTCTAGCTGTTTAGCTGTTTAGCTCTCTAGTTGTTTAGCTGTCTAGCTATTTAGCTGCCTAGCCTTTTTGCTATTTAGCTGTCTAGTTGTTTAGCTGTCTAGTTATTTAGCTGTAGCGTCCAGCTATTCAGCCATAAGTAAGCTGTAGCAGCTTTTAGACAAACTCTGTAAATGACTGTCTTCACAGTCTTGTGTTTTATTGTGAGATCTCGGATGACGTGCTGAGGATGACTCTCAGTTACCTCTGCACCAAAATTAGCTCAATATCTGTGAAACTGACTAAGTTTTAAAACATTTGTGTTAAATAATGTCAGTGCTCATCGTCTGTGTTGCTACTCCCACAGTGACTCTCAGCTACTACCACACTAAGGTTCAGCTCAGTGTCTGTGACACTGCTTGGATTGTAACCTCTTTGGTGTTTGGTCACTGAGCTGTGGCGGCCATTTTGAATGGAGTCAACAGTACCCAGCTGTAGATGTGCATCCAGAGATCACTACTTGAGAGTTTCTCCTCGTGTCATCTGTTTTCTGTTTGTCCGCAGCGTGATCGGTGCCGACCCGGGGAACGGTATCCGGGTCTTCATCCCGGACATCGGCATGTTCATGGCCGGCTTGGCCATCTGGCTGCTGTGTCGCAGTCTGGTCCAGAAGAGGCCGCCTGAGGACATGGCGCAGTACAACGCAGACTTCGAGGCAGAGGATCAAGTGGGTTCTGTTTGTGCTGACGTCCGTCTCTTCAGATAATGTTTAGAAGGAAACATGACGGTTAATGATTCTGTATAATGAGCACCAGGCTCCATTAAACAGCAAAGATATACATGACATAAAATTAATAAGGAGGAAGCTGCTTGTGTTCAATAAGTTTCCTTCAGGCATTATATTTTTAGGTTTAATTGTTTTTACACAAAGAAGAGACAAACTACCTCAAGGCATTTTATTCTGAAGGAACATCTGGACTTTATGTTCAGTTCACCTATAGTTTCTGTCATTATTTGGATTAAACTTGAGTAGATGTTGGAYGCTGTGTGGATTAGGAGAAACCATCTGGACCTCGGTGTGTTTGGAGACATTTGTTTTCACAAAATTTAAGTCTGGAGTAAACGATTAGCATCTCGAAGAGGAAACATCTCAGCCTGTTTGAAGTAAAATCTCTCCAAACACCACAAAACCCAGACATAAGTATTTCAGCACAAACTTTATTTTTTACAGACTTCAGGACTAAAAGCATGAAGGTTTGAAGGAGTTGAGTGTGGGAGTTTGTTAAAATTTCCTCATAAAATAGATTAAAATAAAAAAAAGTTTCTGGTGACAAAGTAAAGTTTGAGGATTCAAACTAAGAAGAAATGTTTCTAATAAATAGCTTGAAGTTTTTTTGCAGCTGTTTCTGTTGTGTTGAGTTTTTGAAGTGGGGTTTTGTGGAAAAGTTATGAGCAGTCAATATCTAACCTGCTGTAGATGACTTATTTAATGGTTTCAGTTTGGAGATATTGGGTGCTGTAACAACACAAATCAAAATGAAAGGGTTTGAAAATTTTTTCCATCCATCCATCCATCCATCCATCCATCCATCCATCCATCCATCCATCCATCCATCCATCCATCCATCCATCCATCCATCCNCCATCCATCCATCCATCCATCCATCCATCCATCCATCCATCCATCCATCCATCCATCCATCCATCCATCCATCCATCCAGGACCGACACAAAGTAATACCACAAAAGTTCCACTGATTTATCCTTTCAATCTCTGACTCCATTTTTCTCTAATTTCTGAACAAAACCCCTGAAATAATTCAACTCCTTCTCGAGTCAACACCTCACTCCCAACCCAGAGAGAGAATTTTTAATTTCCTAAGCAACCTTTGAGCCTCAAAAATTAAAAGTTTTAAACTTACCAAATAAAACAGCGATTCCACCTGCGTTTCACCCTCATTCTGACTGGATTAACGAGTTAATGTCGGATTAGGGCCAAGATGTTTTTTTACTGTCTCCAGTTTCAAAATGTTTGCAGTGTTACAGACAAATGCTGATTAATCAAGTTTTACATTGTTGTCAATTTTGCACATCTATTACTTTATTAAAGTAGAAATATTATTTCTAGGGAAGTGCTTGAAAGGCTATAAAATGTTTTAAGAATAGAGTTTTATAAGACAATAAAAACCCACTTTGGTCTTGGCCCCACTTGAACTATTATCTTGTTATTCTGCAGAAATAAACTTTATTTATTACAATTACTCTCATTCAAAAAGCTGTCCACGGCATGTAAGATGTTATTTGTTTGTAACATTTCCACAGAACCCCAACTATTGTTGCATTTGTTAGAAAAAACCTTCCTAAAGATGTTTTTATTAGTGAATATATAATTTTTCAGCTGATGAGGCGTTGCAGCTGTGGATCGACTTCCCTCCCGTTTATTTTCTCGTTATTGACTCGGTGGTGAACGAGGTCGTGCCCTTCCGATGCCTCTTCATTAACTCTGTCCTCACTCTTTTATTTAAACCTTAAAATTTTTTTTGTTGTTTGTTTGTTTCTGAGCACTAACGTCTTCATGAAAAAATAACACATTTTCCAGACTCTGTTTATTAACCTCTCGGTCCCTCTGACCAGCCATAGCTGTGAAACTGGACACTTAAATGAAGCTTTATGTTTACAAACAGCAGCGAGCTGATAAGGTTTAATTATCACCGTGTTGCTATAAAAACGGTGAATAAAACCAGCTGCTCAAGCTCTCAGTCCACACCGAGCCTCGCAGGCCGTGAGGAAAAGGAGTTTAAATGTAAAGTAATAATTAAAAAAATCAAAGCTCTTTCATGTGAGAGTTGATGCTTTGGAAAACAGCCTCCGTCCTCTGCCAGGCCCTGCCTTCCCTTTATGACTCAGTCTTTATATATATAAAAAAAAACATTTTTGGCTTTGAGTGCTCTGGCTGGCCCAGATGGCACGGCTCCCTGGGAAACACCAGAAACTAATCTACGACAGCCGATGTTGCAAATCGAGAAGAATTCAAACCGCCTGCTTCTCCGGTTGTTTGGAACTTTATGGGTCGAACTGAATGGCTCACTTGTTATTTCTGTTTTTTTATTGAGACCATAAAGAAAAGAGAGTTGTTTAGAAATAGCAGCTTAATGTAAAACTAAGTTCAGGTGTGTTGAAACGCACACACAGGAGCGACGCGCTGGGATTATTACGCTAACTCTACCTGTAGGAAACGGTCTTCAGCACCACGGAGAGCTCTGACCACGCGTCTCTGTTTGAAAGGAGGACGAGGAGAAGCCCAGCCTGGACGATGACATCCTGCTGGAGGAGGACCTGGAGGCGGGCTACGAGGCCGAGGAGGACGAGGACAACGACGAGCTGTACGATGAGGAGGAAGAGGAGGAGGAGGAGGAAGAAGAAGAGGAGGCCAAAGAGAGCGCCAAGATGAAGGTTCTGCGGCTGGTGGCGGAAGTGGCTTCAAAGGTGAAGGAGGTCATCGGGAACTTGATCACCACCGCGGGGAAAGTCGTGGTCACCGTCCTGCTGGGCATGACAGGTGGGGCTCTCTGTTGGTGGGTGATGATGTTTGTGTTTGAAAGCAAAACATCTCAAAAACTTGATGGGGTTTGATGAAACATCAGTGTCACTCATTAACTTTTAAAGCCAGCTCAGTTCAAGATGGCTGCCGCAACCAACAACAAAGAGACTATAATTCAGTCAGTAGCTGCGTTTCCATTTACCATGAAAATGTGCAAATTAGACTTTTGAAAAAAAATTAGCTAAATGGAAACACATCAATTTCGACAAAATGTTTTTGCGCCAAGATGAGGTGGTTTTTCGGCCGTATCAAAATTGGCGTTTTCCGCAAAACTTCAATGGAAACACTTTTTTCACATCACAGGAGTCACATGATCAACAACTGGCTGTTTCTACTGGCGAAAAATTTGACGAAGAAGAAAACAGGAAGTAGAAGTAGTAGTAAAATCACCGAAGTAGTAAAAGAAAGTAGTAAACTCATGACTACAGTTTCCCAAAAACGTCTTATACATAGCTGCTCCCAAGTATAACGGGCTTGTCGTTCGCAAGCCTCAATAAGACGCCGACGTCTACTCTGATGGCTGATGATGAGCGCTAGTGTCGTGGTAGTAATATGCATGTTTACATCCGTTGCCGCCATGTTTGTAATGACTTACCGCGAAAACAAGCATATTCACGCTTGACTTTAATAGCATTTCTTACTTAATAGAAACACCGCAATTGCGAAACTGTGTTTTTCGACATTATTAAAATATCGACAAAGTTTTGCGCACATTTGCAATGGAAACACAGCTAGTTTTATAGATATTGAGGTAAAATTTGGTGTGGTAGTAGCTGAGAGTTATTCACAACACATACTCAGAGAACATATTATAATGACTTCAACTCATTTCTACAAGATGTAGGAATGCTAGAAGAGATTCACCAAATGTTTGGCCTGAGATCAGTAACGGCTGATTTTCACCTTGATTGTCATGGATCTGTGACCAATGGAACAAATCCTAAAAATGATCATTACTTTTTTCTTGTTTTGAAATGGTCAGTACTGAGAAATACGTTTCTCTGAATGCACCATCCCATCAGCATAGCAAGAAATCCACAAAAAACATCATGTCATCATCGGCGTAGATGATTTTCTTTTTAGAAAGTATTGTATTTATTTATGTATAATGTACCCCTTATTTTTTTTTAGCTTAATAAGCATAAAAATCTATCCCTGGTGTATAATGCTACCTCTAATTCCATATATACTTTAGGATGGTTCAGTCTGTTGTGTACTCTGGTGGGGACACACACATCTGTGTGTGTTTGTGGCTGCTGAGGAGGATCAGCATGATCTTCTGGCTCCACGTCACTGAAAACAATCTGCTGAGGACAGAGGGAATAATGATGATTTATCCCTCAGGTCACAATATTTTAGTTATGTATGAGAAAATGTTTAATCTTATTGTGGTAGTACATTAGAAAACCGTCAAAATTTACTCTTGTGTATAACGAGCCAACTTTATGGATGGTTTTTGTGGTTGAATATTTTTCATTGTACATCCATAAATACAGTTTTTCTTTTAAAATGCCTGTGACATGCCTGTCCTTCAAATACAAAAAGTAAAAAAAAACATCTTTATACTTAAGAAAATTGGCATAGTACACATGATTTTACCCATTTTGTCACATAACTGGCGTATTTTTGTTTGAATTTGGCTCAGCCTATGTGAAACAGGAAGTGACATCAAAGGGGAACTCGTTAATAAAATAAACTAGCTGGTCTCTGTTTATTAAAACAAAATTATTTAAACTTTAACTCTTCTTCGTCTCTCTTTGATAGCGACTAAAAATAATCTAAAGAAACATCAGATTCTTCTCTACAGTCTGTTTTGTTAGCTTTTGTAACAAAACTCTGTCTAAATGCTGACATTCCCCTTTGACATCACTTCCTGTTTTTTCACATGCAAATGTCTCAACAACTGTTCATCTCAGCGACATGAAATTTGTTTTGAAATATGTTATCAATGTTATCTTTCCAAAAATGCATTCATGGTTATTACGAAAACTTGATGTCACAGGCCCTTTAAGACATCAGATCATCTTGAACTCTAATGAGTTTGTGAGTCCACAAAACCAAAATTGGTGCATCGCTAAATGCTAGACCTTTAATTTACAAATCTTTTATTTTTAACATTTAGTTGAAAATTTCGTGATATACTCCAGGAAATGAAAATGTTACACTTTTTCCAAAACAGGCGTTTAATTTCCTCAGAACGAACAGAGAGCTCGATGGATTATTAAAAAGTCCATCAGTCGTTTAATCGCCTTCTGCAACTTTCCTCAGCTCTTGTATTGCCACTCGAGTCCCTCCTCCTGTGGAGAGCGGCTCTAATTTATCAGTTTCCATCTCATCTTTGCTCTCAGTTCATCTGGAAATGTCTTTAAGAGCTTTCCATTAAGCTCAGACTGGATCTCTGTCCGGTGTTTTGTGTGGAATCGTTTTTCCCACCGTCCTATTTTACTACGTTTATTTAATCTTTTTATTGTTTTTAATTGTTGCTTTGGTTCTCAGTTGTGTACAAGTAGTGCCTTACTTCATAGGTTGGCACTTTTTAAATCCTATAAATAAAACTTGTTTATAGTAAAAAAAAAAAGTATATATAAATCTCAAGTTGCTTTAGTTTTTTTAATCAGTTGAGGTTTGCTTTTAAGCATTTAAAACATGTAATTCTCTGTAGTCACCTGATCTGTCAGATTATTAAAATATTTACATTATGATAAATGTAAAAGATAAATATATAAATAAATAAATAAGAAATAAATTAATGTTTATTGATACCATAGTTTTTGCTCCAAAATTAATCTTTTAGATCTTTTTAAATGAACACATTTTCCCTGCCTGTTTTCTCCAGCAGCAGGCTGTAAATATGGATCTGCTTAAAAGTTTTAACGCCGATAAGATTGAGAATTAAAAGCACATAACAGACCACATCCTTTTAATAATGATAGATTAAAAGAGCAGAAAATGGCAAAGATCAGTAGAATTATTGCCCATCTGAGAGGAATTAGTTTGTGGGATGAAGTAGTTTTTAACATAACGTTTGTGATCATTCAGCAGGACAAATATTCTTTTATAAAGTTAAACTGACTCAGAACAGAATCTAACAGCAAAGGATGGTTTGTTGGGTTATTTATGATTATCGCACCATCTAAAACAGAAAAAAAAAACAACGGAATAAAACAAAAGTTCATCCTGATTTATTCCAAATGGTGCCGTTTGAGTTTACTCCGGTAGTTTTCCAGATGTACAAGTCTACATTTTACTTAAACGTCTAGTTAAACAAATGTGAGAGTAAATATTCACTAATTTATAAAAAAAAAAAGCACTAAATGACAATGATCATCTTTAACAAAGATGTTTGGAAGTTAAAAAAGAAAAACGTTGTGGTTTTATGAACATATGCAGAAGAACTAAAGTGAAGTTATTTATTAATAAACTCCAGATTCAGTTACAGAATCAAAACTTCAAACTAGTTTAAAACTGAAGAAACTCTTTAAAATCAAAGTCGGGATTAAAGTAAAGAGTGAAGACGTCTCTTCTTTCCCCTCATCTCCGTCTCTGTTTTGTTTTCGTTCCTGCAGGGATCATGCTGCCCTCGCTGACGTCTTTCGTTTACTTCTCCGTCTTCCTGTTCCTGTGCACCTGGTGGTCCCTCTGCCGGACCTTCAACACGCTCATCTTCAGCTGCATGTGCGTCCTCATGGCCATCTTCAGCGCCGGCCACCTGGTGGTCCTCTACCTGTACCAGTTCCAGTTCTTTCAGGAGTCCATCCCGCCTGAGGACAGCTTCATCAGGTCAGACACGAGGAGGTCCCCTCAACCAGCCGTTTGATCCGTTCCTGGTTTCGCCGTATTTGTTGCGTCATTTAAACTCTAATAAATATTTATTTTTTTTATAAAGTAAAAGCTGCTCCGACTGGCATCACTTCGATTTGAGAAGCAGAGGTTTGTTTCTCTCCGGGTCAGCCGTCGTGATTTATTATGCATGAGCGAAGACCCTACGGACTTCCTGCGGCGGCGGCGCTGAAACTCTGCGGTCGGAGCGAAGCCACTCTGTTGTAAACACACTCAGAGCTGCGAAGAGAAAAATAAAACAAAACTGAGAATTTAAAGACGATGAAACCCTGTTTTTCCTCCAGCTTTAGAGTTCACTCAGATTGGATAGTGCATTTTAATGTTTTTAATTTCTTTTAAAAGCTTCAGATTGGATTGACTTTAACTGCTCTGCTTCTTAATTAATTTATTTATTAAAGCACTAATTAATCCTGTCAGAAGTGAAATACGTCTCTAATCTGAATCTTTGTACTGTTAAAAATGATGCTGAAACAAACATGACTGAAGGTGGGATCACAAAAAAAGGATCAAGCGGCTAATAACTGAATTATTAAAATTATTAACTGAATTATTAAAATTATTAACTGAATTATTAAAATTATTGACTGAATAATGATCATTTAACTGCATTGCTATCTTATTTTCTTGTTGCAGATTATTGGGATTATTTTAGGCTGTGATTTCATTCACAATGACATGAAACAAAGTGTTTAAGATTCAATTTTGGGCAAATAATGAACTCTTTACTAGTCATAATTATCTACAAATTATAAATTATACTCTAGATAATGCATTTTGTTAGCATATGTAATAATCATCCTGTTCTTTTTTTTTTTCCAGAGTAATACATGCAGCTAAATGTATTTATTAAATGTTTTTTGGGGAGGATTTCAGGGAAAAAAAATTATACACAAAAATATTCCTGCTATTTATTCAAATGATAATTGTAATCATCTAAAATGACAAATACTTTTAAATTTTCTTAATCAGAATCAAAACTGTTTTGGTTTAAACGAGTAAAAACCAGTTTCATGCAGTAAAAGTGTGTTTATAGCTACTTTACCTGAAGTGAATAAAACTACAACGTACAACAAACAAACAAACAAACAAAAATGCATTGATGAAAACTAAAGCACCTTTATCTTTAGGATTTATAAACACTAGAAGTGTTTTTAATAATGAAAATATCAATTATAATAACATTTTTAAAACAAACAGCACAGTAAAAATGACTAATGTTATAAAAACTGTGGTAAATTGTAAAGATAGAAAACATCAAAAACTGCTAATATAGCTAAGTTTCATGTAATTCTTTCTTCTGCTTTACAGACTAAATGAAAAATGAATCATTCTGTCATAAAATATGAAGTAGGATGTCTGTAATCATAATAATAATATTAATAATAATGATAATGATGATAATAATAATGATAATGATGATAATAATAATGATGATGATGATGTGTCTTTTACACATTGTTTCACTGCGGCTGCTTTAGAGAAGCTGCTGTATTTTTGTCCTTGGTGTTGCAGAGTTTAATTGATTTTTTTCCTCTTTTTTTTTCATTTGAAAGCTGCTGCTGTTTGTCAGGAATCAAGCTATTTAAAGAAATATATGTCTGAAAATGCTTGGAGCGAATGCCACGTCCTCGCCATCCCTCTGCCGCCGCTGGCAGATGAGCTGCTCTTTAGCTGAAATGGACTCAATCTGTGGTGACAGAAATAGTGACAGTTTTTCATCCAGGAAAGCTGGGCTTGTAGTTCCTTTCTTTAATGGCAACATTTCCTTTATTTTTTTTTGTAATGAAAACACTGTTTTTTTGGTGAGAACAAATGGCAGTTAGTGTTGTTGATGAGAGAAAATCTGTGAAAACAACCTGTGAATCTGACATGAGGTCAAGAAAGGACATTAGTTTTATAACCAGAGGTCTGAGCTGCAAGACTCAAAACCGCAAGAAAATAGCTAATTTTCTTTAGCCGCAGTCCCAGAAACCTGAGTGTTTGAGACCATTTAACCTGCGAGCAGTGGTGGGCACAGGTCTGCTAATCTGCTAATAGCAGAACTAGCTTCTCATTTAGCCGATTAGCTTTATTTTGCTAACACTGTAAGTCGTTAACTGACAGATTAGCTTCTGTTAAATTAGATGCTGCTAATATTAACTGTTTTCATGCCATTTATGTCAAATTAAATAAAAATGATCTCCTTTTACAAGCAGTGCTGGAAGTGTCACAGTGTTTGTGGCACATAGCATCTTTAGCAGCTACATTTCAAACTAAGAGCATCAAATATAACATTTAACAATATTGAAATAATGAATACAAAAAAGACTACGAATAAAATATGGCAGAGAAGGTATTTAATATTTGTTGTTTAAATATAAAATACAAACTCAAAGAAATGCTTTTATTCTGAAGGGCAGACTGCAGTTATCACAAGTTAGACAGAGCTTTGCTAAGCCGTTTAGCATTAGCAAAGCTAAGATTGTTTAGCAGATTAGTGATTAGTGAACTTATTTGTTAGCTGTTTGCATCACTGCATTTTTTTATTTCGCATCCTCAGCTCGGCGTTACAGTGAAGACTTTAGGGGTGGGAATCTATTACTATCTCACGATTCGATTCAAAATAGATTTTTTAAATTCAAAACTCAGTGTGAGCCCATTTGTCATGTTCCTAAAGTGCTTCATCTTCATTTTGCACATTTTGCACACAGTGAAGCTCATGTCAAACTCAGACTCATTCAGTAAAGAACCCTTGTAAATGAGAATCACGATTCTGATTAAAAATGATTTTTTGGTGCACCCTTAGACTTAAACTTTTTATACAAAAAAAAAGTGTCTCTCCAAATAATCTTAAAGTTTGAAACTATGGCAGATTGTCAGGACAGGGTCTGCTGCTGAGGCGCCGAGAGGCCCGGCTTCCACTCCACTTCCTGCTCTCTTGCCCCACAATGGAAGTCTCTAAGTCACGTGACCGAGCCGGCCTTCCTCGGGCCGTAAGATGAAACCGCTCAGGAAGCGCGCCGGACTCGGCGGGGGCTGTCGCTCCTCCACATGGCATAAAGGAAACGTCTCGGGAGGCTTTTTCAATCCGAGCATTCGTCACTCGCAACGTCAGCGCAGTTCCTGAGCAGATCGACAAAGTTCATCTGCTCAGGAAAGGAGTGAAACGGACGACATCCTTCGTTGGACAGACAGATTCTTACCCTGTTCATTGTTCATTTCAAGGTTAAGAGATTTGAATGTAGAGATTGTTTTTCTCTCTGAGTAATAAAACCTGAGAATTATTGACATTTCGGATGCTAAAGATAAACATTTAAACTGTTATTGCGGCTTTCATTTATTAATGCAAACAAATAAGTATTTTATCTTAAATGAAAGTGTTGAAAGGTTCTAGGTTGTGAGGTAGAAAAAGCCTAACGTGCATGTTTAAATAAATACTGAAGTCAGAATTAACTAAAAAAACTAGCCTCAAATAATAAATACAATTATTAACATAGATGTTTAATAAAAATAAACAGCATTAATTAAATCTCAACCAGAAAAAATAGTTATTTTCATTTAAATAAAAATGCAGAAAACCATTACCAGTGTGATTTTATTATTTGTTTTCGGTAACGTCTTGTTTTTATCGTTTGATTTAATTCCTTTTTGGTCATTGCATCTTTTTTCCTTTACATGGGTGCTTCCTCGTGTCGTCTCTGCAGAGTTTTTGGCATCGCCCCCATCGTTCAGACCAACTGCTCCTACACGTGGAAGCTCATTGTGAGCCCGGAGCGTAAGTGGTACCACTTTGTCAACCCCATCATGCTGCTGATTCTCTATTACACCCTGGCCACACTCATCCGCCTCTGGCTGCAGGAGCCCATCGACCAGCTGATGGTGAGCGCAGCAGACACAACACCGGGGCTCGGGCCTGTTTTTAGTTCACCAGGTTTGGGGATATTTTTAGTTCAAGATGTCGATGCTCTTCTTTGTGTTCAACAATGTTTATTGGCGGTTTCTGGATCTTTTAGGACATGTTGACGTTATTTAAAAAAAGAGATAAAGCAACTTGATTCTGAACGGACAGAGGTTGAGTTAGTTAAGTCCTAATTACTGTAATGTTCTGTCATTCAGCTGTCACTTCCTGATTTCAGGCTGTCAAACCCATTAACACCGCCTCCCCATCCACTCGTGTAAATACAGGAAACGATTAAGCGGAGGGAAGAAACAACTGATCGTATTATATGCTGCTTAATAACAGATTATCACCTCCTGGAAAAAAACGAGATTTAACAATTAGGCCCGACTGTTAAACTCAAGTGTGAACCACGATGGACACGACAAACTAACGTTCAGGGTAGATCAAAAGATTTCAGGACCGTTGATCAGCCGTGTGAAGCTGATGTGTTATCTGATGGCTCTTTAGAAAAACGGCCACACAGACCAGTTTTTATGCTGCCTCTCGTCGTCCCGCGCAGACTTGAGCTTCCGCGAAGCGAGCGTCGTGGAACCAAAAGAGACGTAGAGCTAGGGTTAGGTTGAAATTGTATCATGTGCAAGTAAAACCGCCTCCATAAGGGAGAGGTTAGGTTAAACCAAGCCAAACTTAGAAGTTAAAAACAAATCACGTCAGTTTTTTAAAACCTCAAGCAGCTCTAGTTGATGTGGAACACGAAGCGTTAACTGTGTGATGAACGTCTACCTCGTGTCGCTTTCAAAATGTAATAAATTAACTCGAGTTTAACAACTCGCTTTGTGGTTTAACTGTTTTTTTTAAACTAAAGTACAAAACTGCTGTGTCTTTATTTCCGTGGTGGTAAATCCTGCTGCTGGTTGGTTAGATGTCGTCTCTTCATGCTTCGTCACGTCAACAGTTGACTTTGACTTCCCCTCACCGCCTCGACCCGTTCTAAAGCCTCACCGAGGCAACCTGAGGGCGTCTGAGTTCTGGACTTAGACGTTTAGTGAAAGAGCCTCGAGACTCTTTTGGTCTAACTTTGATAAAACAGAAAGAAATAAAAAAATAGAGACACTTCAAATTGAGGCGACCGATATTTCTGGAATTCTGCACTGATGTGGATGTTAAAGTGCCTGTGACATGCATAGCCATGAAATACAAAAAGTCAAAGAAAATATATTTATATTTAAGAAACTTGGCATAAAACATGTGATTTTACTCATTATATCACATAATTGGCATATTTTCTTTTGAATTTGGCTCAGCTAAAGTGAAACAGGAAGTGACATCAAAGGGGAACTCTTCAAGAAATAAAACTCTCTGTTTTTTGTTTATTTAAACAATATTATTTGAACTCTGACTCTTCCTCATCTCGCTCTGATAGTGATTAAAATGATCTAAAGAAACATCAGATTCTTCTCTACAGTCTGTGTTGTTAGCCGTTTTAGCAATGATCTGTTTACATGCTAACATTCCCCTTTGACATCACTTCCTGCTACTCCATATGCAAATATCTCAAAAACTGTTAATCTCAGTGGCGTGAAACATTTTTTAACAATATGTTATCAGTGTTATCCTTCCAATAATACATTCATTGTTATTACAAAAATTGATGTCACAGGCACTTTGAAGCAAGGGCTGCGCCTAAAATATCAGTGGATGCAAAGGATTCAGAGACAAAGAGTTGGACACTAATAATAAAAAAGTAAATAACTATTTCAGTCAGCTGTCTACAATCATCTTAAGACACCCATCTTGCTGTTTGACTCAAATCTGTGTATTTATGACAATAGAATATGATAAATTATATTATTCTTTGCTCACTGTGCAACAGAAGGTTTTGCTCTTACTTAAAAACTGCTGTGAAACGACTGCAGAGTAAAATTTTCTCCAACATTGTCACTTTCATAAAGACCAGCCTCGGTTTTCCTTCAGCTCTGAGCTCCAGGCTGGGCTCCTCCATCTTATAATGGAGTTATAGATCAGTGTTTTTATAGAGGGGTCAATACTTCCCTTCAAACCTGTGGGGCTGTATGCATTATCGACCCGCCCCCCCCTCAGGAAAAACTGTGTGTCTGTGTGTTTTTACCTACTCTTACAGTTTAGATTAGAGGCTAATAATAAAACATGATTGGTTGTCTAAATCAGCAGCTGATAGGTTTGTTCAAGGRTAGAGATGTCAGATTATGACGGACCTCCTCTATGCCAAAACCACCAGAACCAGTCTGYTGTTCTGATTTAGAGGTCGTCACGCAGGCTTTCAGGCAGGATTTAACACTTTCAAAGTTTTACGAGATTTACGAAGGGGAGCGGAGATTGTGGCAAAAACGCATTCCTCCATCCAAGCCGGTACGATTTATTCTCGGTCTTCTTCTTGGCTTCATGCTCGGTGCTGGATCCAAGTTTCGCCAAGGCCCAAGGCCCGCCCCCACCTTAAATCTGATTGGCTGTTAGGCCTTTCTGGTGTGTTTTTGAGAGCGAGAGAAATGTCTTTTAAAATCTCTGCGGAAGTGAAGATCTGCACGGAGCCATGAGGGCGTGGCCAACAGAACACCAAACAAAAACGAGTCTTAAGTTGGCAAAAATTAAAATGTGAATTATTTTATCAAAAAGAAAAAATAAGTAGGTCCTCTGGATGGGTTCTTCTTTAATGAAACGTTTCGTCTCTTCTCCAAGAGACTTCTTCAGTCCTAGGAGTTTCAGGTGAACTAATAAGCACTGCCTCCTCATGGTGAACAAACAGGTTGGTCACATGCTAAAGAGGACCATCAGCCAAACAACAGGTCATTAGTTCCTTGATTAGCTCTATTGTTCATAGAGGATCATGTGCTCCATCACCTGACTATCATTAGAGAAGAACCCGTCCAGAGGACTGACTTACTTTTCTTAATTATTTTTCCTTTTTGATTTTTCTACCTGGATTACTGAGACGCATCAGGACATGAATTATTTTAGTCGTTTTTTTCCCCTTCCCATTGGAAGTAAGAAAGGTTAGAATGTTTTTAAACATTGGATTATTTTTCAAATCTGAGGCGGTACTGATGAAGTCTACTTGTCTGATCAGGCTTTCAGGTAGGATTTTGAAAGAAGGGGTCGTCACCTTTGGCTTCATAAAATAATTGCGGTCACTATACGCCGCCTACAAMGTTTACAGAATTTACAGAGGAAAAAAAGACAGACATTTCTGTCTGTCGAATGTTCCTGAAGATCGGTGCGGTGCCACGAGGGCATCGTGATGCGTCACCAAGCTAAAGAAGGCGTCGGAAAAACCAAACAGGACATTCTTGTGACGAACCTCTACCTCTAATTCTGGTCATAAAGTGGTTTGGACAGGCTGGTAGTCGGATAGTTGCGCATTAACTTAGAATGAAAAGTAAGGAAATGTGTTTATGTTTTAACAATGCTTGTTGGGAAACATTTCATGTGCGCAATCCACACACCCTATTCTACTGCTCATCTCACAAATGCTTGTTCCTTACAAATGTGGCACCGTTTAAAAAGGTATTTAACAGGCTTTCCAGTGGTATAAGATTTATTGCCAAGAAGTATTGTTGCAACAATGAAATCATCTACCAAACACTCGTTTCCTTACTTTTTCTGCTAAGTTTATATTCAGGGGGTTATGTACAGTTGGCTTTACGTTTGGCCCCGATGGAGCATCAGCATCGTGGAAAAAGTCCTATTTCTGGTGTGAGTAGATTAACTTCACTGGTTATCAGTACTTTAAAATGTTGAAACCCGACGAGTCTGTCGAGATGAAAGTTATCGCCGTTTCCTCCTTGAAAAGGTCGTTCAGCTCCGCCTCGGACTCTGCGGGTTCTAAGATCACTGTGTGAACGGTCGGCGGCGCAGCAGAGGTCAGAGCATCAAACGGCGTCAAATCTCTGTTGGTGTTTTTTCAGGACGACAAGGACGACGGCGCGTGCGAGGAAGAGGAGCAGAGTGGAAACAGAACCAACAGCTCGGCCAACAGGAAGAGGCAGATGTGGTGGGGAGCTCGCCAAGGCACGGACGAGAAAAACGTACGTCGGGCGTAATGCGCAGCCGTCGATTGTTGGACCGTTTTGGCTGCTAACAAAGCAAATAACTAATTTCCTTTTGCCGTCGTTGCCTGAAACATTAACATGGTTCAACTTTAATTCAAAAATAGAGTAAAATGAAGCAAATCTTTCATATTTTAGTGAAATTGAAGTTTTAAGTTTCATAACAGACTCATCCCTGGAGTGACTTCAGAGCACACCGTCTCTCTCACACACTCCTACACACACATCCTGACCTTGTTGTTGTATAAACGTGTGCCTCTAGCGGCCACCCTCGTGCTTTTATAGTTCAGGATCGGAAGTCTGGATTTCCAGAGTGGCACCGTTCAGCTTTTGTTCCAGCTGATCAGCGTCTGTAACAGAACYGGGAGGTTAACGCCACTCTTTTCTCTCCTCCCAGCTCCTCTCCACGCAGGACCACTTCAGTACGACCGAGGTGCGGCCGCTCTGGATGTGTTTTTGAACCTCCTCGTCTTTGTCCCCCCCCCCATAGTCTTAACTTTGTGTAAGAAAACTGCTTTTCAGACTGCATCCTCGAACACAGCCCAGGGTTGTTTTTAATAAAGTGACTGTGGCAGCATGAAATGTGTATTTTTAAAAAGTACAGAAAAGGCAGAGTAATTAAATAAAATGACATGCAGTGTGAAAAGTAGTAAAAGTAACCCTTCCAATGCCCCGCAAAGTCAAAGCATTTTAGTTTACTGCCWATTGGAAAGATCTGAAATAAAAAAAAAAGTTATGTTAGGATGACAAGTTGTTTTTTATTTTTGCCTTTGCAGGGCAGAGTGTTTTCCTGGTAATCCCGTAACAAACGTGTTCAGATCTTAGAAAAGTTTATTAAAGTTTTCCGATGTTCTGCAGGTGCTGCCCACCGCAAACGGGACGTCGTTCGACTTTGTGACTACTGAGAATGGACCGGTCTCCCTGGACCTGTACTCCACCCCCCAGTACAAACTGGACAAGCCTGAGGACGGCACAGGTCCGCATTTACCGATAAATTTAAAAAACAAACTGGGAAATAAAACGAAACTAGAGAATTTCAGTGAAGGCTTAATCCTGAAGGAGCTGAAAAAAAGGTTTAATAGCAAAACTGTTAATGTGAGTTACATTTGAATYGCTGACTTTTGCTGAAAGTGGAAAACAAAAGTGAAGAACCAGTAAAATCATAGCAAAAAATGTGTGAAAAAACTGAACTGGGCAGAAATGTAGCTAAAAATGTGGCTTAAAATGTTTAAACTACCAGAAAAAAAGAAAAAAAATGTAAATCTACAAACAAGTAAAAAAAATCAACTTAAGTTTAGATAAAAGATGGTAAAACATGCTGAAAAAGATTCACATCTGACCTTGACCTTTTATTTTGTGACCTTGAAATGATCGAAAAGCATGTTTGCTGAATTAAGCATTAAAAACCTGAAMATTATCACAAAACAGTGAAATCTACCTGAAAGAAAGCTAAAATTTGCTGAAAATTAGCTAAAAAGTGTAAATTAGCAGAAAGAAACTGAAGGAGTACCTTTGTTTAATCAAAGGAAAAAGCTGAAAAGATCACCAAAACATGAATTTAGATCAATTTAGCAACAAAACAGCTAAAGAGTAGCTGAAAAGGCAGAAAAAAAGAAAACAGCTAAATGAAGCGAAAAGGAGCAGAAAAAGCTTAAATTAGCAGGATGTAAAAAGAAGCACGTCAAAGCTCATATGAGCAGAAATAAGTTGAAAAAAATCTGAAAATTGCTGAAAAATGCTAAAAATTAACAAAATTAGTTTTTGTTATTTTTGAGATTGGTCGTGGTGGCCTGATTGGTTAATTGCTTTTCGTGGAGGGAAAGGGGAACCTTGAAATTGTTTCAACGCATAAATCTCGTTTTCATTTAAAGAGTTAAATAAAAAGAAAAACAGCAAAACAGAAAAAGTCTCCCTTTTAGACTTTTTTCAGATATCTTTACTCTCATTTAAACCAGATAATCCCAGTTTGATGGTTACAGTTTAGACCTTCACTCTAATTTAGCGTCAAATGAGTTTCCTCTGTATAAATGATTAAAACAATGTTTTTGTTTTGACTTTTTTTAACGGGAGGTCGTGTTTTTCACAGAGAAGAAAGACGAGTGCGTGTACGAAGTGAGTTTACCTCCGGAGGACTCGGCGCCGAAGGAGTCTGAGGACGAAGAGAACGAGATGAAGAAAAAAGGAGTGGGTGCGATGGTGAAAGTCTTCCAGTTCATCATGAAACAGAGCTACATCTGCGCTCTCATCGCCATGATGGTGGGCGCTCGGGATACATTTAACTCTGAATTTGTCTTTTTTTTTTTAAACTTAACTGAAAGGAAACATCTTAAAGTCCTTTTGTTGTGACAAAAGATTTTAAAACAAACCTGATATAACGAAATAACTGACTCAGATTAACTCCGTAAAGTGAATCAAATTCACCACCTTTAGTTCTAGTAGAAATCAATTAGATAATTTATTAAACAGACACTTTATGTGATTTAATTATAACTTGATAACACAAGATAGAGACCGTAGAGGTTTATTTTATTGCAATGCATTAAACAAAAAGATGATCCGAAGAGTTAAATTGTGCAAATTTGAACAGAATTGTATATGAAACATCTTGAGCAGGCATTGATAAAAAGTTAATCGGTGTATGGTTCATTCTGGGGTTTTTTTTCCATTTCAAAATAAAACAAGAAAAATAAAGCAGGTGGTTATTCATAAATGAATAAATAAATAAATAAAAAGACAAAAGCTAAATTGAAAAAAAGCTACATTTTTTTCCTTTTTTTATATTAAAGCAAAGACGAGCGTTGGATTTCATTTGTTACTTTCTGGCAGAAATGGAAATCATCATAGCCTGAAGTTACGTTTACAGTATCGCTACATAATAAAACGCCCACCGTAATTTTATTTTGGATTTAGCAAAGCAAAATCAAACACTGTGGATTTTTATTAATTCTGTTTTACATTTTTACATTTAGGTTTTGAAAACGATAAACCGAAGAAACAACAGTCTTTTTGTGATTTTATTTTGAAACAAAAAAMAAGAAAGAAGTAATGTCTGTTTTCCGCCCTCTGCAGGCGTGGAGCATCACGTACGTCAGCTGGCTGACGTTCGTCTTCCTCATCTGGTCCTGCGTGCTGTGGATGGTGCGGGACCGCCGACGCTACGCCATGCTGACGTCTCCCTTCATGGTGGCCTACGGTGACCTGGTCATAGTGCTGCAGTACATCTGGAGCTTCGAGACCATGGAGCCCAAAGCCGGCTTCTTCGTTAAGAAGAACAACCCGTTCCATTCGCTTTCATCCAAGGTGTGGGAGACRAAATATAACGAGTTTTTCTTCATGTCAAAGCTTCTTTTAGAATCACCCTAAAGACTTTACTGTTCGCAGCTACTCAACCTGATCCAGTGTTTTTATAGATACTTTATGTCACATTCTTCTGTTCTAATAAACATTATGTGTTTATAATTGAAGCTACAGCTGATTAGTTTGTTTCTTTTTTATCTAGATGATGTGTCTGGGGACTTTCTGGTTGCTGCTCAGACAAACACTTACAGAGAGACAACAGAAGAAAAAAGARGAAAGCGCAGGACTCTCAGACGTCTTCGTGGAGGACCAGAAGAAGAAGGGTAAGTCCAGCGGCTCTTTATTTTATTTAGCTAACGCACAGTGTGTCCTCGTGTGTTTTTAAAGGGATCCATGATTAGTTGTAACGTTAGACTTTATTTGATAAACATATATTTTAACTGTGAAATAAAGACTGTAAAAGTACTGTAGGATGTTTTTTTAAAATAATTTTTAAACTAAAATTTAAAAAATATATTACACGGACGGGGCCATTTTATTTACATGCAAAGCATTCTGGGTAAATGATGACGTGGATAGGTCCTCGGTGTGAGGCTGCTAGCGAGCTATATCCACCCTGAAGGTTAATCTTGGACAATATCTGACGATCGACTCTTTTAAATGAAACCAGAGAGCGTTGACAGAGAGGAGAAGGTAGAAATGACTCAGCCTGGAACTGAAAATATGGATGGAGGACCTCAGTTTAGCTTGTTTGTTGCGCTAGCACCGAGCTAATACCTACAAAGCAATATAGCGTCAGCGCTAAAGCTAACAGGCTAAGCTGAGGTTCTTCTTCCATGAAGCAGCTCTGTTGTCCTCCATCCATATTTTCAGTTACAGGCTGAGTCATTTCTACCTTCTCCTCTCCGTCAACGCTCTCTGGTTTCATTTAAAAGAGCCGATCATCAGATATTGTCCAATATATCAGCATCTCTTAATGCTTCTGTAGAGGAGGAGGCGGAGGAGGAGGAAGGAGGCGAGCAGGACATCGTGCACGTGCTCGGCAGTATGGTGATGGGGATGCTGGTCAAATACTGGATCTACATCTGCAGCGGGATGTTCTTCATCGTCAGCTTCGAAGGAAACATCGTCATGTACAAGATCATCTACATGATGATGCTGCTGGTCTGCGTGGCCGTCTACCAGGTACCCCAAACACCCAGAACTGAGACAAGCCTGGGTTTTTACAGTAGGTTTGGGTTTTCATCTGGTCTGACAGGAGAATTGCTGTAAATATAAATCATTTCAGGATCTGTCAGTATTTTTCCTGAGACGAAGTTCTTATGTGCTGCAGGTGAACTTCGAGTGGTGGAGAAAGATCCTGAAGTATTTCTGGATGACGGTGGTGATGTACACCATGGTGGTCCTCACCATCGTCTACACCTTCCAGTTTGAGGGCTCCAAAGAGGTCTGGATGAGAGCGCTKGGAGTAAATGAAAAAAGGTGAGCTGTGCTGAGTCATCCCAGGTCTGAGGAAACAGTTTAGTCATCAAATCATCATGTTTTTTAAAATATATTTAGCTAGAATTTGTTGTAGTAGCTGAGAGTCCTTCCCAACCCAGACTCCATCTTTATCTTGTGATTTTGTGTGCAGTCCGGCAGAACGGTACTAAAAAAGTATTTTTCTAAGAGATGACCTCAGTTTGCTTCAAGGATTAAACCTTTCACCTTCAACCTTTAAACCTTTTTCCTTTGATCTCAAATCTGACTCAGTCTGAAGGACCTGGGCTTGGAGACGTTTGATGTGCCCGAGCTGTTCACCAAGATCTTCATCCCCACCTCCTTCCTGTTGGCGTGCATTCTCCACCTGCACTATTTCCACCAACACTTCCTGCAGCTCACCGACCTGCAGGCTGTGGTAGCCAAAGAGGAAAGCACCATCTACAGGTGAGACGTCTGCTCTTTGATCCCAGACACTTTAAAAACAGACTTCACTTTGTTTTTACTTCAGGTTTAACGACTGAACTTTAATAAACAGCTGCACCAACAACGTTCTTTGGTTCTGTGTAGCTGTTTTTATCTCAAAACGTTGGGCTCGATCATGTTTTATTTTATCTTTTTTTTTAAATTTTCCAAATATTTAAAAGGATCCCCAAAATACTTTCAGATTTCTTCAGTTCCTTCAAAACTATTTTAAAATCTGCTTCAGTGTATTTGCTGTTTTTATTTATTTTTTTACACTTTTTCCCACAATTCTGCTACTTTCTTAGCCTTGATCTAATGTTTTACTTTTACCTTTTAGCTACCATTCTGCTTTCTTTAGTTACCATTTTGTTTTTTTATAGCTAAGGTTTTGCTACTTTTAGCTTTTAGGAACTGCTTTGCTCATATAATCAATGGTTTTGTTAGTTTTAACTACTATATTCTTTATTTTAAAATCTGTTTTGCTAAGTTTAGCTACTGCTCTAGTAATTGTAGCATCTGTTTTTTGCTCATTTTAGCTACTGTTTGGCTACCTTTGGCTTTATTGTACGCTTTGCTGAATGTAGCAACTGCTTTGGTCATTTAAGCAACGATTTTGATGTTTAAGCTACCATTAAGCTTATTTTAGCAACTGTTTTGGTAAGTTTAGCTACTGTTGATAGTTTTATTTGATCAACAGTCTCGTTTGCTGATGTTTTGCTAATTTTAGCTAACACTTCAGTAATTCTAGCATCMTTTTTTCTACTGTTTGACCTCTTCTAGCTTTGCTCATTTAAGTAACTTTTTTTTCTGCAGTTTTAGTCATTTTATTATCAGTTTTGAAAGGTTTAGCTTCTTTTTTTTGGTATTTTTGGCATCTGCTTTGCTAATTGTAGCGACCGCTTTTGCTCAGTTTTTGTTATTTTAGCTTGTGTTTTGTTGATTATTTAAGCTTGTTTTCTGCTTCTTTTAGTCTGTGTTTTGCTCATTTTTAGCCTGTGTTTTCGTAGTTTTCACTTTAACGACTCAGTTTTAGCTCCTTCAGTAGATTTCAGCTGTTATTCAGCACATAGCGGTGTCTCTAAGTACTTGTCTCTTTGTCTGGTTCTTTTTTTGCAACTTTGTGCCATAAATCCACATTTCAGTCAGTTTTGTGGAATGTTTTTTGTGGATTTCTTTTCTTTTCTTTTGTTTTCATGTTTCGCTGCTCAGTTCAGCCTCTTCTCTCTGTGACCTGCTGCCATCTTTCTCCTCTGCCACCTTTCTTTGTCGCAGCCATGCTAAAGTCAGCGGGCGTGTCTATTTGATCGTAAATAGGTGGGTATCTGCTCGCTTTCTTTGTGGCGTCAGTTCTCTTCTGAAGCCCCACGTCTTCCTTCCCTCTCCGAACTCTCCCAGTTGTTTAATTTGAAAGATGATGCTTCACTTTAACAATCTTCTCTTGTTATTTTTCCCATAACCTGGTTGGTTTTTCTTTTTCAGGATTTATGGAWTTTTTTTCTTTTTCTTTTTGCTTGTAGCCTTTTCAAGCTAAATCCTTCTATTCCTGACAGACAACTTGTTTCTCCAGCATGTTTGGATCTGCAAGAACTTCTTCCTCTCCAGCAATGATCCAATGATCGACACCTTGTTTGTATTCCGAGCCCCGGAACATCTCCCCCCTCCCCCACTCCCACCCGCTCCCTAAAGAAGCTCGCCTCCCCAMAAAGCTGCCAAACTCCTGTGCCCAGTTTCTATAAGACTGTGTGGATATTTGGTGATTTTTTTTTTTCAGGTTGTCCTCGTTGTTGACACTGATTTACTTTTTGTGTAACTTTTTATTTTCCTGAGCAGCATCAAAGAAAAAATTCCTTCCAGGCAGAGCAAGTAAGTGTGACGACTGGATGGCAGAATGCTTRCCTTTTGTATGCAGAAAACCATGACAGTGCTCCATTGCCTGAGGAGATGATAAATAAATTTAAAAAAAAAGATGAAGGGGAAATTACTCCCTTTAGCTAAAGGAAGTTCCTCTCCCATGATGAGATTGTTTCAAAGAATGCAGAAGGAATGTGTGCACTGCTTTGTCATTACAATGCTTGATCTGTCAGCAGACACAAAGCTGATGAATCCCATCTGATCATTTGCACTGGAGCTGTTTGAGTGGATGTAGTGGTTATATGCTTATGAGGACCTGTTTCTTTAAGGTGCAGCTTTCAGGGAAGGTCAATTCTGTTAATTATCTCTGCGTGCCTCTGCAGGTTTCTGAATGTACATTTACATCTCCTATAAAAATTCCTGACTTCATCCTGATAAGCTTAAAAATCCAGGTAGAAACATCTAACGAGGCTGAGTCAGGTCCTCTGAACGGGTTCTTCTAAAGGGGAGGAATGCATGTTTGAAAGTTGATTAAAGGAAGCCATTTGTCTGAGTTTACCTGCAACTTCTCAAACTGAAGCAGGACTTCAGAAGAAGGCGTAGACACTTARGGTGCTTTTCCATTGACGTTCCAGTCCAGTTCCAGTGGGTGTRTTTTGGGCGATTGGTGGAGGTGGTTTTTGGGTTTTTCAAAAAAAARAAGTTAATGYGCAAAATGAGAGATRGAAACACATTTRCCGAATAAGTTCTGAAATTTTAAAAATTCACTAAAAATTTGAATTAAAGTTGGATGGAARCAYGACTAATGTCGCTGCTACAATTGGAAAAAATGGCGCCTCAAGTTGTTGTAAAGGCAGCTCAGACAAAACCAGTGACTCCACCCCCTAGCCAATCAGTGACGTCGCATTTTGGTATCGACTGGGACCACAATGAAGTAGGTACTAAAAAAGGGCTGGTTCCATGGAACCAGCTCTTTTTTAGTACCTACTTCGTTGTGGTTCCAAGCGGTTTCAGTCGACACCAAAATGCAACGTCAGAACACTGTTCATCACTGATTGGCTAGGGGGTGGAGTCACTGGTTTTGTCTGAGCTGCCTTTACAACAACTCGAGGCGCCATTTTTTTTTCAATTGTAGCAGTGACATTAGTCGTGTTTCTATCCAATTTTAATTCAAATTTTTAGCAAATTTTTAAAATTTCAAAAGTTATTCGGCAAATGTGTTTCCATCTCTCATTTTGTGCATTAACTTTTTTTCAAAAAGCCCAAAAACCACCTCCACCAACCACCAAAACACATCCACTGGAACTGGACTGGAACGTCAATGGAAAAGCACCCGAACTGACCCGTTCCGACACCGACCGTACTGACACTACATTAAGTGGCACTAGTGGAAAAGGGGCACTGGGCCAAAGGTCAAATCCCCCCCCCCCCCTTTGCTGGTCCTCATGAGTATATTAATAAAGACGTGTGCAGGTGAACATGTGAGTGACTTCTCCTCCCGTCTCTTCAGACTGGTGGACCAGGATGGAAGTCTGGCGGACCTCACCATGCTCAGTGCGAGCTCGTTGGACGCCGTGCTGCTCCGGAACCGGCAGGTGGAGCAGCAGCAGCAGGAGGAGTGGAGCTCAGAGAAGGAGAAGGAGGAGCAGGCCCTGGTGGTGGTGATGGACACCGACACATCCAGCGAGAAACCCAGAAGCCTCTCAGATCAGCGCCAGTCCAGCACCGAGGACAGTCAACGTTGCAGCGCTGCGACTGAACCGGAACCGAGCACCGAGCAGAGTTCAGGTACCCAGGTTACTGCTTTAGTATTAATAAAGAGATTACCAGCTGTTTTTACTTGTTTTAGCTACTGTTTGCTACTTTTAGCTTTCATGACTGCTTTGTTCATTTAAGCAATGGTTTTGTTAAAGTGACAGAATTATTGAAATGGTAACAAAAAATAGCAAAACAGATGCTAAAATGAGCAAAACTAACATTTTTTTGCTACTTTTAGTTCCTGTTTAGCGACTTTTACTTTTTAGCAACTGATTTGCTCAATTAAGCAATGTTTTTTTAAATTTAGTTTTAGCTATTGTTTATATAACTAGCGTCAGTTTTGCTACTTTCTGTGAGTATTTGTGTAATTCTAGCATTTATTTTTCACTAATTTTAGTCACTGGTTTACTACTTTTAGCTTTAGCATCTGCATTGCTGATTGTAGCAACTGCTTTGCTTGTCTAAGCAATATTTGTTACTTTAGCTATTGTTTATGTAACTCTAGCATAGGCCTGTTGCGATAGTCAATAAATCAATTAATTGCACGATAAGTTATTTTGAGGTCGGTAAAAAAATGAGGACGATAAGTTTCATTTTCCTTCTTGTTGGTTTACTTCGTCTCTCTCCCTCTCTGAGCTCCGCTACACAGGAGCTCAGCTGACTCCTCCCCTCCTGTTTTCTTGGTGTCGGGAGGAGTGAACTCTGTGAGAGCTCGTAGCAATAACAAACTAAAGAAACGTTTCAAAGCAGAACGCGGCTGCTGCAGTGTCGGAGCAATTGCAGAGCCTGAAATTCACTGCGGGGAGACACAGAGAGAGGAGAAGGGGTGGGGGCTGAAACTCCCCCAGATCCGCGACAAACTCGTCAAGACTTTACCTGTATCTCCCAAAAATAACAGGAAACTTAAACGCACCATCTGTGTTTTAACAAAACACCCAAAAAAACCTGTAGCTGTCCCAACAACTCATGAGGAAAACTCTGAACTGTCTGATTTCCTCCCCCGCAGCGCTTTGACTGTCCCCTCCTCACACACACACACA